ACTATTAGGAGCGTTTGAGCCACTTGTGTGCTTTTCTGTGGTACTTCCCGCTGCTGACTGGACTCCTGGTGCCTCAGAGCCGTCTGAGGCCCTTGCTGCCTCTGTGGTGGCCCCCAAGCCGCTGCTAGGTTCCGTCGAGCTGACTGTGTGCAGAGATGCCTGAGCGACTGGATTCGTTGCCGAATGATCCTGACTTGTGAGATTCCCAGCGGGATTCACTTTCACAGTTGAGCCGGTGGCAGAATTTTTTGCTGAACTGACGGTTTGAGAGGGTTTTGCGGAGCCACCCGTGAGTCCAGCCGCCCCAGTAGTTCCCGAAGGGTCGCTTTGCTTTTTGGAGCCACTTGTATTCTGAGTCCCTTTCGTTGTAATTCTCGCAGTTGAACGAAAATCCCCTGCTGATGTTCCAGAACCTTTCAAACTCGAAGACGGAGTGGTAGCAAGTGAAGCCGTTAGAAGCGAGGTCCGCGCACCAGAACCGGATGTTGCCAAGCTTGTCAAAAGATCCTTCAAGGGAGACGTTCCCTTCATAGTCGTCCCAGGTGCGATTGGCGCTGGCGTAGTGGCACCGGAGAGACCCTGGAAATAGCCGTATTTATGGATTGAAAACATTTTTTCAGATAATCGGGCCACGGGTGAAACATTTTTTTGAGATAATCGGGTCATGGGTAACTGAAGGGACAAGTGTAGCCTGTCCAAGAACTAAATGGTTCCTCTTAGGTTGTTACAGAGGCACAGTGAAAGGTGATGGGCGGAGACAGTCAATAATTGCGCCTCCGTAACTGGTGCGCGCCTACCTCTGCAATTTGAAAGAAAAGAGGTTTTCCCAGGAGGGGGGCAAAATTGTTGATTGTCTCCGCCGGCATAGACTTTGCCGTTGTATCGGATATTCAAAGCTTTCGTGTGCTCATTAAATTGAGTTGGCCCATGGCCCAAAAGCACTTGATTTTATTTTAAATTCAAGATTTTGCTTTAAAAGCGAAAGGGTCCACTATCATGTTTTACATCTTTGATAGGAAATTTGTCGCACTATAAGAGAGTGTGGTTGGCTTTTTCGAGAACGTTTGACTTTTTTGTGATTTTTGAATGAGGTCAACAAAAACGAGCACTTTTGGCATTCTCCCTTTTTTGCTTGAAATTATGAAAGCAAAAATTCTTCTTCCAAGCGTAAAACTAGGAATCGATACCTTCAAGAAAAACGGGTATGTGACAAGAGAGTCGTAATTCGCCGCGCTGATGGGCGTCGCGTGCGACGTCGCGCCTGCAAATGACGATGGTTCCAGGTCGTAGATGGCGACAACAGGCAATTTAGAACCGAAAATAGTCATAAATGTCTACAGTTTCGTAGCCCACATGAAATCCGGTGCTTCAATTGATAGGCGGACACGAGTTGAGAAAACGTCGCAGCCGATTGCCGAGCGGCGACGGGAACGGCAAATTACGATTCTCATGCCCGTCTCACCAAGAAAGACGTACGCCTTCGTAAGACCCCTAAGTAGAAAATGATGCAGCCCTGAATGGGGGTCAGCGGAATTCTTCGCTAGTTGTCATAGGTAGACAAACACAAGAGGGAGAGTGGTCAAGCAACAGCGTCGGATTAGGTTGGGGATTCCGTGCCAAGGCTCAACGCTTCTTTCGGGTCAGACATGGTGTGTAAGCCTCAACCAATTTTTTTTTTTTTTTTCCCCCCCCCCCCAGCCAAAAAAACACAAAATGGCTTTTATCTCATTAACCAAAACTAATTATTACTACATTTCCTGGGGTCATGGCTTACACCAACCACTTGTCACTACACCACATTGAGGCGGAGATGGTATCGTGACAAATGGTGCGTTTACTGCTCGCGCGATCTCGGTGTAAATCCCAGTCGACTTTCGTTCAATCTGAGTACCTAATTCCGAACGTCCCGGACGGAGGTAGAAGGCAACTTAGCCTTCTACGGCTCCGGTGAATTGGTACTAAGATTCGTCTGGGAGGAATAAAGCTCTGACTTGTACATCGGCTGGGCCCCCGCAAGTCATTGTATAGGCCACATCGCATTCAATAAGCCACTACGATTCTGAATGGAAGTAGAATGCGTGCCGCATCCCACAAAGGGATTGATCAACGGCGAAGACTTTATCCTTCATCGTTTTATGGCTGACCTCGAAAAAACTCTAGCTATAGTTGAAGAAGGGATACGCGGCGCGGCTATGTCATGACATTTCTGTTCATCTGCCCCCTCAACGACGTATTACAGCATGGATATGTTTAGTACACTTCTTTCTATTCGCAAAATCTATAGCTTGCGATTTGAATGTTTAAGTAACTCACTAGTTGTTACCAGACCCTTACCAGACCGTATTTCTAAGCATGGTTATCTGAACCATCCACCTGCTCAGTTGCATAAGTGTTGTCCTTCTTGGCCTCGGTGCTTGTTGGGTTGTCCTCGTCGGTAGGCGTCTTTGAACCATTCGCAAGCACCTCCTCTTCCGGTAGACTGCTTGGAGCTTTCAGAAGAACTCCCAGGTCTGGATCCCGCCTTCGTAGTGGAAGATTTCTCACTTTCAGTAGCCTTAGAGCTACCTGTCTGCTTTTCTGTGGCACTTTCCGCTGCTAACTGGCCTCCTGGTGCTTTGAAGTCGTCTGGAGGCTTGTCGTCTGAGGACTTTGTTGTCTCTGTGAGCGTACTAGTTTCTGCCGAGGTGTACAGACACTCTTCAGGGGTAAGGTTCGCTGTTGTATCACTTGCCACATTCAAAGCTGAGTCATTGACAGAACTTGTCACTCCATCCACCGCCTTAGTGGCTCTCGAAGGGTCACATGGACCCCGAGTCATATCCGCTGTGGTTTCCGAACTTGATGATGGCTTCTTCGTTGACGGTGGCGTCGTGTCGTGATCAAATAAATCATGCTGGAAATAGTGGTGTTAATGGGTAGAGAACATCACTTTAGACAATCATCGGGCCCTGAGTGGCAGAGGTGAAGCAGGGTTGTCTCCCCTTGCCAGGCAAATAGAGTACCATCTTCGCCAACCAAAGTTCTTAGCAATTTGGAGTCGCTAAAATTACGACTAAGATGGCGAACGTACGCTTCCGGAAACACTTTTCAGTTTGCAATGGCCTAGAATTTCTTAGTCCCCCCCTAGTTTGTTCGCAGACCATCGCTGATGGGCGGAGACAGTCAACTTCTGGCACGGCAAAGCCAGCTCGATACTCGATTTATGCTCTGCGAGGGCAGGCTTCGGCGACTCTGGTTGTGTGCGGTCTGCTAAGAGTGTGCCTTGAATGAGGGAAAGAGTCGGACGCGGAGACGCAAGGGTATAGTTCGAGACATTCGAGGCCCGGCATATCAAAACATTTCCTAGCTAGTTGACGTGAGGGACGCAGACCAAAGAGAGCCTTACGA